CCGCATATTCTCACTCATAGGCAGTTGTTGAACAATGAGAACTCATGGACACAGGGAGGGGAGCACTACACACTGGGGTCCGTTGGGGGAAATTGGGGGAGGGACGGTGGTGGGGAGGAGGGAAGAGATAGCATGGGGAGAAATGACAGATACAGGTGAGGGGACAGAAGGCAGCAAACCACACTGCCATGTGTGTACCTATGCAACAATCTTGCATGTTCTTCACATGTACCCCAAAACCTAAAATGCAATAAAAAATTTTAAAAAAGTAAAATTTTACAATATTTTGATTTAGTATGTGTAAGAAGGCAAGAAAAAACTTGAAAGTATTTTACTTCCAGATTTCAAAAGTAATTACAAAAGTAGAATAATAAAAACAAGATGGGATAGGCATAAATATCTTTTGAGAGTTCAGAAATAAACTGATACACTGAGGGGAATCTGATTTTCAGCATGAGAATCAACAATATACAATGGATAAACCAAAATCTCTCCCTAAGAGGGTGTTGGCAAAACTGGATTTACACATGCAAAGAGTTAAGAATTTCAGGTTAGAATAAACACAAAAATCAACTCTAAATGGGCCAAGTAGTTAAATGCATAACCTGCAGTTGTACAATTTCCTTCACCCAAAAATAATGTTAACAGAGATTTCTTGTGTTTCACACTGAAGGCACAGACAACAAGAGCAGATTTGAACAAGTGGAACTGCATCACAATGGAAAGATTCTGCAAATCATGGAAAAAATTACAACATACAAAATGAGAGAATACAATTACAAGTCATGCATCTGAAAAAGTGTTAATACCCAAAATATGAATGCAGCTTCTACAACTCATCAGCAAAATGATAAATGCCTGGTTGTAAAATGTTGAGTTTTGTACCTTAAAAAATTTAAGAATATAGATCTCATGTTAAAGGTTCTTCTCTATGGGTAATGGTTAGTTTTCTGGTATCCGTGCTTTAGGTAAACTTATGTAATAGATGTTATTCAACCTGTCATCAGCTGACTCTAGGTTAGATAGATTGTCGTTGATAAAATGGTTGTGCCTGATTCCATCAGAGCAGAACTGGAGAAAATGAATTCCATGGCAATTTGGCAGCTTCACCTCTCACTGGGACTTCCAGCCTGTAATGACTGATGGATGATCTTATGCACGTTGGATATCCCTAGCCATCTGCAAAAATAGTCATCCCCTATGCCTCACAAAACAGTGGCATGTTCATCAGTAGTTCGTCAACTTTGAATGACAGAGAGACTCTGAAATACAAAAATATTTATCTAAAAATGGATATTGCATTTAAAATATACTTGGGTGCATTTGGGTTGGTAAAGGAAGATAAAGAATGAAGGGAAAATGAGGAGGGTTACATCAGCTGTTTTGAGACAATTATCACGGGCTAGAAAGGTTAATAACAGGTATGACATTTGTGTGAGGTTAACAGGCAGTTGCTGGGCAGATACATTTAGAGAAGCAATTCTTTTAAGATTATGGTGGCCTGGTCCAGGTGCAGTGGCTCACACCTGTAATCCCTGAATTTTGGGAGGCCGAGTCAGGTGTATCACCTGAGGTCAAGAGTTCGAGGCCAGCCCGGTCTACATGGAGAAATTTCATCCCTACTAAAACTACAAAATTAGCTGGGTGTGGTGGCATATGTCGGTAATCCCAGCTACTCGGGGTTGCTGAGGCAGGAGAATCGCTTGAACCCAGGAGGCAGAGGTTTTGGTGAGCCGAGATTGCACCATTGCAATCCAGCCTGGGCAACAAGGGTAAAATTTCATTTCAAAAACAAAAACAAAAACAAAAAAAAAAACAAGAAAAATAGAAAAGATTGTGGTGGCCTCTGTGCAAGGTTGTGGTTGTGCACAGTCTATATATGACAGTTCTTGCTCTCAGGAATATGTGTGTTAGACCCTCCTTCATGGCCTTCCACAGCTTCATTCATTGGGATTTTAACACAAGTGGCTCCATTTTGTTCTGATACATTTCACAAGCTCTTTCTAACACTACTTCTGAAGCAGATGACTCTGACAGTTTGCACAGAACAGAGTTAATTCCACATCTACACCCCATTTTGATCAAATAAGTTTATCCCTTTCACTATTAACAGCCAACTGCACTCCCAGATGAGTCTACACACAACACAGTGGAGGGTCCTGAGCAAATGGGGAGAGAAGGAAGCCCCATCAGCCTCTCCCACGTGGTTGCAGGAGCCACAGCCTGAGCCCCACCTGCGCTCCAAGAAAATGCCTTGAGGCCTGGAATGGAGACCACAGAGACCATCTCTTTATATATTTTAGAAAGCAGGAAAAACAAATAAAAAAGGAGGAACAAACGCTCTGAAGGAAGAACATGGATTGGGGGCAAAATAAGCCCAGATCACTGCTGTTGCGATTGGCTTTAGTGTCAGGAGAAGGGTCGGACGTGAAACCTGTGAGGTTCTACAAGATGCTGACCCTGGCCCAACCTCCCTATTGATTCTGGGAATCTCCTTGAGGCTTCCGTCCTGGATCTGTTTGGAGAAGACTCATTAGGAACCCCTGAGCTTCCTCAGGACTCTGGTGCTGGTAAACATGGTTGAGATCTTTTAATCTCTGTAAGCGTCATCTACATTTGGTGCATGTGAGAATAGATCCTCATGTTAAAATGATCTTTTAATATTAGGAAGCACAGAATTCTAAACTTAGAGAGTTTCACTAGAGAAACTGTAAAAAGACAAAATCCCACATCCTGACAGGAAATCAGCTCCATCTGCACCTGTCTCTGCGGTTGACTCTGACCTGTGGGTCCTGAGCGCCCCCTGCAGCTGATTCCTCCGAGTGTCCCTGCAGGAGCTTTGTGTCCCGGCCCACACTGACTTCCCCCACTGTGTCTCTCGCACAGTAATACACGGCCGTGTCCTCGGCTCTCAGGTTGTTCATCTGCAGATACAGCGAGTTCTTGGCGTTGTCTCTGGAGATGGTGAATCGGCCCTTCAGGCGTCTGCGTAGTATGTGTCTCCACCAGAACCAATAGCTAAGATCCACTCCAGCCTCTGCCCTGGAGCCTGGCGGGCCCAGTGCATGTTAGAGCTACTGAAGGTGAATCCAGAGGCCGCACAGGAGAGTCTCAGGGACCCCCCAGGCTGGACCAAGCCTCCCCCAGACTCCACCAGCTGCACCTCACACTGGACACCTGCAAACACAGAGACACCCTTGTCATTAACTGCCACACATACCCACTGTTCCCCTCGCTCATGTCCACACACACTCAGTATCTCTAGTTCTCCATAAATCACCTTTAAAAATAGCAACGAGGAAAACCCAGCTCAGCCTAAACTCCATGGTGAGTCCTCCGTGTTCAGTGCTGATCACTGAATAGAAACACCTGGGAATCCGGGGCCTGGGCTCCTCTCCCAGAGCTGCAGGGTCAGGGCTGGGCTGTTTTTTATGAGCAGAGGGAAGGCCCTATTTGCATGTCTCCTCCTATATAGCAAGTTCTAGAAGGGATTCCCAGAGGAGCTGTATCCCAGAGAGGATGTGAGTGATTATTCTTCATAAATAATTAATTCTCATTAGCATTTCTACTTTTAGATGCACAAGAAGTATGTTCTGTGGGAGTCAAATTTTCCTACATTTACGCATGTGAATGTCAACCCCCAAGTGTGGAGGGGCCATGTCACATGTCTAAGAGCTCACATCCGGTAAGAGCCAGTCTCAGTGTCCGGCCTGTGTTCCTCAGGACTGGATCTGACTGCTCCCTAGATTAACTCCAGGACAGAGCAAGAAATTTCCAGTGAGGTTTATGAAACTCTCTTCTTATAATAATATCATGACATTATTTGGCTATATCTTAGTGCTTTTCTTAATAATACAGAAAAACTGAGTATTAATTCACATGTATTCAGAAGTCTATGACTTCTTTGTATTATTTTTATCTCTCTTAATCGTTTTCTACCAAATCATATATTTTATTATACATTTTTATTTGTAGTATTTTTAATGAGGTCATATTGACAAATAACAATCTTCACACAAATATTTACATCACCATTCAGAGAAAACAAATCAGTTATCCCACAATTTTCTCTTTTTCTCCTGCAATTTCCCTGCCTACACCTTCCATCCTTTTACCATGGAGAAGTCAGTTTGGGATCTTTGTGATGTAATTTGCAATAAATATTCAATTTGCACAGTTTATAAAATTGAATTATATATATGTACATTCATACACATTATATGTAAACATTAATACACATTAGAGTAGATGTAGTGGAGGGTGGCTAGTGTTGGAATGAGAAGACACCACAGAAT